GTTTTTAACTTGTAGGCTTGAATTCTAAATGACACTTATGAGTGTGAGCATAAAATTTCAAACCAATATTTGCTGCAAATTGTATTATACAGATTTCATCTACCTTAAGCGGATTAGTGCCATTCATAAATTTTCCTGCAGCAATAAACTAAGCGCATTATGCTATATTTCATCTTGTATTTCGATTTTTGGGATAGACACACAGACAGTTAAAGGGACAGACAGTGTTAAGCCAAAAAAATTGAAGCCATACTGGTAATGGGTAGAAGGGCGTTACAAGTGCAAAAAAATACAATATCGAGTTCAGTTCCAATCTGAAATATCTTGGAGTGCAATTAGATACAAAATTAACTTTTGTGGAACATATTAAGTGGGTTATGTGATAGAGGAGTTCAAACGATGTGTATGTTGCACAGTTTCAACGTGAGCGGCAGCTGTTCTAGCAGGAATGTTACTCATCGAGCTACTGTTGAAGAAGCAGCTAAGCATTCATAACGGCAAAAAGCAAGAAATAAAGGCAATGTCTGCAGACTTAAGACTGTTCGCAAGCAGAGCCTGTTGAAAAACGGCAACAGCGATAGGAAAATGACTCAAAAGCAAGGTACACCTACACCATCATCCGAAAGGTACAACAATGGGTGGGAAGGAAATACGGAGAAGTTAATTTCTTCCTAATCCAATTTTTCACTATTATGGAAATTTTTCGAGTTATGTTTTTTATCGTTTTAACTTATGAGCAGATAACGCATAGAAGTATAAAGTAATTAGCAAACGCGCGAGTGTTTATTGAAATTCTAACTGGACTTTAGGCAAATGGGCAGATTAATATATTTCACTATAACTTCTCACGGCAAGATCTTATGTGCTTTCAGCTTAATTCAAAAATCTTTAGGCGAAGCAAGACTAACAAACTTCAATAAATCTGACAACAACAAAAGTTTATAACCACTCGTCAATAAGATAATAACATAATAATCGCACTAACGGCTTGCCTTTCAAGCCAACAAGTTTTCTTCAATTTTTATAATAAAGAGAAATGGAGCATTGAAAATTTCCAGTCCACCGCTTTATTTCATAATTTCAAGATGATTTATGATGAATTTTTCTGACAGAATCTTGTCATAACATTTTCAAAAGCTATTGTATTCCACCACTTTCGTCATTACCGTTCTCATCGTCATTGTAATTATTCTTGCTGTGATAAAAAGGGAAACATGACAAGAAAAAAAGAACACATTTTATTTACATATGTATGTATATAAAAAGCAAAAAAAAAAAAAAAAAAAAAAAAAGTGCATATAACATAAATACTGACTGCATTTGCATATATGTAAATGACGGCAAAGAGCTTAGAAAAGAACGTAAACAGTTCTGCATAAAGATTAATTCAAATGTATCTTTTCTTCTGTTTTAGGTCACTATCTTCTTTTTTATTTTTTTATTTTTTTTTCTAATTAAAAGCCAACAAAAGAGAATGATTTTAATTTCTAAATAAAAAGGACTTTTGCTTTCATTTATAACCCATATAGCTCGAAGACAAGTTTGTGTTTAGGAATTAAGCTAAAAACTGTTAATATTTCACTTATGCAAAACTTCGTGGCCAAATTCCAACAGACTTGTATATTTATGAAAACCAAATAGCCTATAAATATGTACAGTACAGAACAAATGCGATTATGAGCATTTAAAGAGAAGAGTAGGTTAGTTTTTGAAATGAATTTTTGACGCTTTTTTTAAAGCGTGAAATTTTTGCCTCTCAGAAGAAGTATTAACGCTGTAGAAGCTTGTTATTCTCACTCCCCTTCTCCACTACCGCAGCGAGACTATATCAGCTCCAGTTGGTAGCAGTTTGCTTGAAGATATATCAAATGTACAGTGCTAAGTAAAAACTGCAATTTTTTATCGACATTTTCATTCAACACAAGCATTTCAGCAGCTGCACCCCATTTTGGGAATACAAAAAGGGAAATATATGTCTCTGCTGCAATTTGCGTATCTTAAGGAAACACTGAAAATGACGCGTACTTCGAGCATGGCCGAAGAATTTCGCGTAATTTCCAAGATTCTACGTATTTTGATCACATTGCCCTCAATGTAGTAAAACGGAGATAAACCTCTTCGATTTTACGTTAACATTTACACATACATCGGACATAATATAAATTGTTTGGGAGATTTTTTATACTTTATTCCCATATGTTGCTCAAATTAAAGATTAAATCAATTCTAATTTTAATACTAAGCCTTTCACCGCAATCACCGCATCGCGCCACTTTTTCCACTGCTTCCCGTATAACGCCTTATTTCGAGAAGGCCGTATATGAAAAAAAAAAAAAAAATTATGGATAACTGAATCAAGTAAAGCGGTGTAACTCTACCTCCCAGCACAGTCATGATCAGTCAGAATTGTAGGTATAGAACGATATATCTTTAAGCAAGCAGGTAACAGAATTTGTGGCAAGGGTTTAACGTGGGTTCCTGCCTGAAAGGCTTAACCCCACGGTGGCCCAAGCCACTTTTAAGCGTACTACGCCCCCTGGCGAGTTAGACAATCCCCACAGAGTAGGGGCCTAAACAGCACCAGAGTCCAGAACAGTTTATTGTGTATGGAACAATAAACCCCACTCTGGTGAATGGCGAGGCCTAGCTGCACTCAATTGTTCCATTTTAGCTAGGAACTCGCCAACCACAACCACCACGAGTACTCCCCGAAGGGCCGCACCCAAGCAGTCAGGACTCACAAATTGATCAACTGACTGCTTCCGCCATAAGGCTTCCACTGTGCTGTTGATCAATTACCACCATTACCCGCAGGCATCCGTGACATGTGTTCAAAAGTAAAAATAGGTAAAAGGGGAAAACTTATTCGTCATATCCCTTTTCCATTTTTGCATGTATTAATTAATTCAGCAGACATTTTCTATCAATCGGCCAAAGGGAAGGCCGTCCGTCAATTCCTTTTTGCATTAATAGTATAATTAATTTATTTATTACGACTTAAGGACAAAGTCCATCATACACCCGCAGGCATACGTGGCTTTGTGAGGCGATCTTCCTGACCCCCGTGCCTCCCAGTTTGTTTTGCAAAGCCTTATGGCATACTTTGGGCGGTTGTTAAAAACAACCGTACTTGCTTCGGATTCTCCATACTTTCCGCAAGCAGGTAACAAAAAGAACGAGTACAATTCCGCTACGGCCCCATGCAATCATATACGTGAAGGAGGGCAGTGGACTAACTGCAGCCCGGTTGATAGCCGCCTACAGCTTGAGTATTTCTTCTTAGAGTTAAAAAAAACCTGGCTTTAAGAAATAAACCAATCTACTCCTCCCTTAAAAAAGTATGCGATGACTATGTTAAAACGCCAATTAAAACTCGATACCTTTTCAGTCAAATTATTTTTGGCAATGAAAAATAAGCTGCCTACCTTATTACGATTTAAATATTAAAGCAGATGGACGGAATGGCAAGTCCAGTTCGAAGAATATAACCCCTTTGTTGCCTCTGAAGAACATATGTCACATGATTCTTGGTTCGTCCATACGTGATCTTTCATGAAAAGTGTGCCTTTGCATGAAAAAATGTGGAATTCTTGCTGTGTTATTATTCAAAATGAACGAATAATTGTACTTGGAGATTGGGATATTTAATAGTCGGCTATATGTTCTACTTGTTTACACATAAACGGAGGCATAGCCTCTCCAGTAAAACCTCTCGAAGAAATCGATTAAAGAAGGCACCGAATAACTCTTCGTTACTATGGGTTATTAATAAGATAGAGATAAGAATTAATATAAAAATTTTTTTATAAAGTTGTAATAAATGCTTTTGAAATCTGAATACGCATTCGCTGAGGGCACTAATATAAAAATGATAGCTCAGTTGCTTAGTTGAAAAGAGAAACTATATTAAACAAATGTTACTCAGTAAATTATTCTAAGTAATAAAATTTATTGTAACAAAATGCTAAATTGACCGAAATCGAATTAATGCATTAGCCAACGATATCAATGCGAATAAGTTATATAATAGGGGGGCTTGACAATAGAGAAACATAAAAGCTAATAATATAAGAACAAAATACGCATATAAGAGTACACAACGCAATGATACTTGTATAATAAATTACTTTAACAAATTTATGAAATTAACATGCATACCCGCATTGTGTACGTAAAAACGTTTAAGTAGAAAAGGGATACAAGTGTGTGTGTGTGTGTGTGTGTGTGTGTTTAAATCTTCCCCTTAATCGCCTTGTAGTATTACGTATACTCAATGGTACTGAGTATTGAGTAGTTAAGGTTTGTGCAAGTGTGTGCGTTTGAGAATATGCCCTTCACCCAATGAATTACTTTCTTTTGTCTTATGACCTGGTTTAGGTTCTTTTTTTCTCCTTTTTTTTTTTTTTTGCTATATTCCACTCTCTTTCCCTTTAATGACTTTGAACCACTTTTATGTGTATGTAAGTGTTAATGTGTATTCCAAACCAATATATACTTACTTATATAATACATTTTATAATGTCTTTAAGGAACCATGTGCATACATGTATGCCACATACCAACATGTATGAAGTCTTTGAATGCTTTTACGTCTAACTATCTCTCTATGTATGCACATATGCAAATATCCTTTTAAGATTGAGTTTGAATATAGAAAGGAAGTTCGGTAAACTAAGTATAGTTCAGTTGTATTACAAAATGCAATAAGTAAGTATGCAGAGGTAAAGGACATGGCAAGGCGCCATGATGTATCAATGAATATGTTAAAATTTCTCTCTCTATCTCTCTCTCTCTCTCTCTCTCTCTCGCTCGCTTTGTGTCAATATTTCGAAATTGAAAATCTATTACTTAGGAAGAAATGTTACTCTATCTATCCACTTTGGGATATGGATTGTCTTTCCCTTCTGCATCTACCTACAAGTCATACACTTGTTATTACACTTGGTGCTAAGTGTGCAAATATGAAAACGGAATTTTTCTATAGGAAGAAAAAATGTTTTCCTTTTTAGTGCAAACAAGTCATCGAGCCATTTTCGTACATTTTCCTGAGAAATGAAGTGTTTCTCGACAAGTGCTTACCCCATCGACGCAAATAAGTGATAGTCGGAAGTAGTGAAATCTAACGAGTAAGCAGCGCCGACTAATACTTTCCCATTTGACCTCATCCAAAGTGTCATAGACTTGTTTTATCCTGTGGACAGATGGACGCATTTCATATAAAAACTTACCACACGTTGCTTCTCTTGATATTTTGGTCAGTTTGCTTGAATAGCGAACCATTCAAATCGATTAATTGTTGTTAGTCGCGTCTGGTATTAAACGTTTCATCAGATCATAGCAGCTTTTAATAGATCACTGTGTTATGATCCCATTACACATAGACTGACTAATTTTGGCGGGTGTGATAACCAAAATAACTACACGCTTCATTTCCAGTAACGAAACGACTTCTTTTTGTATTATATGTGCTGCAGAACGCCTCGTATTCACTTAAGAGATGAGTGGATGTTTAGCGCATTCTTTGGCAGAATCGAAACGGATCGGTATCGGATGTATGTAAGTTTTCCAGATTATAACTGAGGGAATTATGACCCGCGTAGAAGCGGTTGCCAAATCGCAGGTCGCTCCTGTTTAATTTCACTGTGCTGCACCGGAAGATTTTATACATCTTTTCGCCTGCCGTTGCCGTGCGTTTTGTTTCCAATGGAAATCCGACTATTTCTGCGCCCATTGCGATACCAACGTATTAATGTGAATTGATTGGGCGGACAGGTAAATGAAGATGTTTTCAGCAATTTTAAATGGGTAAACAACTATTACTATTAACTCCACTATACCCCCCATCCAACACCACTGTGAATTGAAAGGATTTCATCATATCTATACCAATTTTGCACGGAAAAATAAGTAACGACATCTCTCGAGCGTTATTGTGTAGACTCTCCCCCTTTAATATGACCGATAGTGCATGGACTAAGCAATAAGTCAGTCATTAACCTCAAAGATGAAACGAATTTCCAGCATCATAGCAGTTTGATGGCATAATCTAATGAGATCATAACAAGTATAGGTTTAATGACAAGGGTGTACGTCGGGATTTTGTTCTCCTAAAATTTAGTAATTACTTCCTTGTTTTAAAGTTACACTGATCAAATGAGTCATCCCCTGTTTCCAGAAATTTTTGAATATTACTTTGATACGTTTGCGTTGTGGCAGTAGATGATAATGAAGCTCTATGGCGGCTCATGCCTCGTCCACGATTAACAGGTTGTGTTATCTAATAAGTCACCCCATTCAGCGCCATGGTATTTCAAACTCGATTGAATGTAATGAATACTTTTTTTCTTAAAATCAAGGAACAGCAACTTGGGCACGCGTTTGCTTCACTTTTTGGTCTGATGCAGGTGCTTACTTGCAAGCTCCCGCACGAAAATGCACATGCTGTAAACACAACCGATCAACAAAAGTGTTCTTTAGTCCAAGTTGTACCCACTTACGATTCGTGGCCTCTATTGAGAGCGATGTACACTACTTCTACTTTTTTGTACAGAGCGCACCTAGCTGCACTTCTATTCCAAACGTAAACGTCCACGTGCCATTCGCCTAATTCACGTGTGGCAGCAATTATTAAAAATCTTTCTAAAGAACATCAAAACGTAGGGATTTACCAGATTAGCTATAACGGAAACCATTTAAATATTAACAAAGTTCAGTGTCCACTGCACCATATGTTATTTAAAGTTTCGTAAAGAAAATGCTGTACTCTTCCGCATCTTTGCTCCTAAAACTTGGCTCTTCCACGGTTTTTTCTACTACGTTGAATACAAATAGTTGCATCTAAATGGACTTATAATTTCGTGTCGTATGGCCATTTTTGGATGGAAAATGAAAAAATATATTTACGCATAAACCTAGTCACCATAGAGCGCCCAATGAATTTTCAGCAATTATTCTTTGTTAAAAAGAGATTAAAGCATTCGCAGGCTTTTGGAAGACATCATGTATAACTTAAGCATATTTTCTTAATTTTACTGAAAACGAGTATAAACAGCCGACGGACAATAAAGGATATGAGATTATTTCTGGCAAGTGGTCAATCAAAAACTTTATGACCGGATAATGCCCATCATCAAATACCTTACATCACTCCGCCTAATACTTTCATGATAAAATATCAAAACTGGCGACATATTTCCATATAAAAGCATACTTTCCGCGGGAACGCTTATATGGATGCCAGAGATCTTATTATTATTTGTTTTCGTCATAAGGTATTAAAAATTAGACTTTGTTGTCGTATAAAACTTAACTTTTAATGAGTGGACTTATGCAAGCTGGATTCCGAAAAGTATACTTAAGTACAGTTAATTACTACGTCAAATTACTATTATGGATGGATGGAATTTGCATCATAAAGCAATGAAACAGAGATGATTTTGAGTTTAATTTTCATCGGAACGTTTATAAGTGGTGGGTTCTACAAAATAGATCTATACGATCCAAATTTGGTGCAGTTGATTCTTCTGGCAAATTACTACTATGTACCAATTTATTCAAGTTCCAAACCTTTTCGCTGAAAATCGCTTAAAATAAAAAAAAAGTTGTTCCATCCTATTCTTAATTTTTTTTTTTTTTTTTACATTAACTTAATATGCTCAAATACTATTACTCAGCGATTTCTGTGAATTTCTGAAGAAGTTTTCCATGTAACTATTGCTTCAATATAGCGCATATTATATATAAAAAGAGGTCGGGAAAATAGTCCAACTTATCATTGAATCGAAAGACGTCAGTGTAGTAAATTTTGCCAAAATATTTCAATAATTGAAATTTGTATCTTTCGGACAGATGAATAAACCGAATTAAATTAATTCAGAAAATGATTTTGAATCAATTTGTATGCGAATCCACCTTAAATATTTTTAGGTGTTACATATACTTCTGTGCGAACTTAATATACCGTTTACCATGAGATATGAAGGATGAAAAACCGTAACTATATATAAATATATATATATACATATATATGTTTATATGCGTGTACGTGAACATGCATGTATGTGTATGAAGCAACCGTAAGAATTATTGTATTTTCCATTTACGGAAATAACCACAAAGCCTAATGGAGTTACGTATCGCACTAGCACAAAATAAGCTTAATTTGATTACGTTCAAAATTGTTTAATGCACTTCTACTAACAAATTTCTAACAGAACAATACCTAGTACCTATCGAATGTTATTTCAAATAAAAATTTTTATTACATAAAGACATAAAACAGAAAGAATTAATTTGCCTAATATATCGATTAAACAACGCATGTTTCGAATAAGTATTTTTAGTTATGACGTCCATAGTATTTTTAAGTTTGGCATTTTCTCTGAATTTCTGAGTTTATAAAAACCAATTCATGAAGCAATTAGCGATAAAGCAAATAGTATTAGGCTTTCAATTACTAAGGCTCACAATCCTTTGAATCCGTTTGTTTAATCACTTGTTATTAATTTTCTCAATAAATAAAAGCCAGTACATGCCGATTACGCTTACGCAATATATATTTCTAACCCATGAATTTTCGTTCCACTCATTTTCATTGCTTGATCAAATGCCTTTCACATAAGTTCCAGTTTTTGTTACACAAAACTTGTAATGATTTTAGGCCGCATACCCGTGTGTGTGCGATTTTGTATACGAGAGTTGCAAGGGAGGGAAAATCATCAGGAAACTAGGGCTATCCCGAACCATTATTATTATTGTTATTATTAGTAACTTCCATTACTGTCTTGTGTGTAATAAACTTAAAATGTTATGCAGATCGACTCACCTGACTGATATATCAGATGAATCGGTCGTACATCAGATCGTAGATACCCAATTTAAAATGATATTTTATAATATCTGGCGGCACTTCATACTTACTTTTTTTAAACTTGACACGAAGACTTCGATTGAAAGACCTCGACCGATTGGATAAGCTTATTTAAGAGGAATGGGAGATTTTCGTGGTTGTAACAGGAGTCTTGCTCCAAACATCGAATTTAAAATGGAGAAAGCCGGGAGAGTAAAATAATAAATTTTAGATAACAAATGTAAATCGAAAAGATTCACAGATATGGCTGATCAAGTATATAGATTTTATGGAATTTTAAATGCGTATTTGTAGCGCTAAATGAATATAGAAAGGTTTCGATGACATGAGGTCACTAAGCAACAAGGCAAGAAGAACTAATTGTAAGCATTTTGTGATGAAAATTGATCCAGAATAGTAATTACGTTAGTAACTTATGAGAGGGAAGTTTTTACATAGCAACTAAAGCCTGATTTTTTTATTTATTTTTTTTAATATGACCAATCACTCAAGGCCTATAGTCGCCTATATGTGAGGATCAGAAAGAATTGGTAAAAGAGGAGGAGATAAGGAAATGGCCGCAGAGTAGTGGGTAAGCTCTGACTACAGTGACAAACAAAATCAACTTTACTGCATTAAGATTCGAACCAACAGACACCGACTTGGTAAGCGCTATTCCTACCTACTCGGCTATTTATGCGGTAGTTTGGTATAATATATTTTTTAGCAACATAGATAAAAAAAATTCAATTAAATTTTGATCATGTCAGTTCAATTTTAGAGCCTCGTAAAAAACTTTCTTAGAAAGTTGTTTATACAAGTTAATTTGTCCTAAATTCTTAGGTGTGAATTCTAATAGACGAAATGAATTTATCGTTTCTTACTACCATAGTTGTATTAAAAGCAAATATTTATTGCAAGCCCTCAGAATAAATGCAAAACTGATAGTTTTACGCTTGCTTATAAATTATGCCTTCAGTTCAATTCAAATTTTTTGCCTCAAATTTGTAGAGCTCTTAATTTAAACGTAAATGGAATAAATTTAAAATTCGAAATTCAGTCAAATCTGATTAATAGTGCGCCTGCAAGTGATTAAGGCATTTTGGTCGAATAAAAAGGAAAATTTAAAATACAGTTTGCATTTTGAATAATTTGCCGTTAGATGCCTACTCTTTACATCTACATCACGCCGTCTAACACAATTCTTATTTTTGCCATAGAATACAAAAATTACACCATGTTTACACTCTATACCACAGCACAGGGTGTATTAAGTTAGTAAGAACGAATGTAACACGCAGAAGGGCTTAAGATAAGCCTGTCTTAAATTTGGTACAGTGACGTGTTTTGAGAAAAAATAAACTTGAACCATTTACGCCTGTTTTTGTATCCTGCCCTATGTAAGGATTAAACTTATAGTACACTTATACTGCAAACATACTACATTAGGTTGCATTTTGGGCCCACTTCCGCTTAAATACGCGCATGAAAAATATGCCTTTGTATAGAAAGAAGATATAATTTTTGTGTTCTATAATCAAAATAAAAATTATGTTAGACAATGTTGTGTAGAGTATTTAATGGTCGGCCTTGCCCGGCCGAAGTTTTATGTGAACGTGCTATAGTATTGTACATAAAAATGATATCTCTTACCAAATAAAGGCTTATTTTCCATAAGAATGGTTGTGCCCAAGAAGTTCTAAAATTGAAGTATGTGCTCAACACTCAGCGCAGTTAATTTTTATGTCAAATTACTATTGCGGATAAATTTTCATCATAATATATTAAAATTTAGACATTTTGCCCTAAAAAACAAAAATTTTCGTAAATTTCCTTGTGAAGGATAGATTTCAAAAAATAGGTGAAGATGGTCCAAATTTGGTACAATTAATTTTCCTATTTTAAATTAATATTATGATACAATTTTCATCATGGAGCATTGAAACTTTTATCGTATGGTCATCGGTTTTGTTGTAGGAGAGAGGATTCAAAAATTGCCCCAGCCGCTCCAAAGTGTACATATCAATTTAGAAAGCCGAAATGCTTAGCCACTTTTGCCGAGAAAGTTCGAAAATTAAAATTTTGAGTGGTCGAAAAACTACACCGATCCGAAACGTTTTCTATAGCCTTCGCGCTTCAGTCAAAACATGTTACTGTACCAAATTTCGCCGAAATATCTAAAAAAATTGCGACCTATGGCTTGAAAACAAAGAACGTGGACAGACCGCAGACGGACAGACAAACTTAGATCAATTCAGACTATGATTCTGACACGATCGGTACACTAAAGGGTGGGGTCCTATTTTAAGCCCTTCTGCGTGTTACATACGCCCACACTAACCTAACACCCTGTACTACAAGTGGTGCGGGGTGTACTGATTGCAATAACGACACCGTATAAAATGTATGTCGAATATTGTTAGAATGCAATGAATGGAACGGTTGTTCATTGTCTTACTATAGTCGTTCAATTCAGCCATTGAAGCCGCAATTGATGTAATGTCATGTCACTGTAAAATTTTCTTTCTCTCGTATATTTCACTTACTTCTTCCAGAACGACTAGATCTTCGCGGCATCTTAACGTCTAGTGGGGTTTAAAAATTCGGCTCAAACTACATACGCTTTCTATGTTATTTTAACATAATTTACTTTTCAATTGTTAGGATAGAGGAGTGTTTCACCCACCATACATTTTTAGAAAATTCAATTTTGTTATAAGAGTTTTGGCCAGGTTTATTTGATGTATTTGACGAAAGCAATATTTTGAAGAGCTATTGCAATTGTTGCTTTGATTGCATTTCGTTCTTCTATTCTTATTATTGTTAGTTTAGGCTAAAGCGGGAAGGGAAGGAAAAGAAGTGATGTCATTACGACGTAAAACCATATAAAGAAATGAATGTTTGTGCAAAAATGGTCGATGAAAACTAGAAAACATGTAGTTTGGCACAAGAGTTTTTGATTGCGAATTATGTAATAATATATGTAATAATATAATGTAAAATAAATGAATATAAAAAAAAAAAAATTTATACTATTTGTAGGTACGAGCACAAGTATGAAAATATTAACGCTTTTAAATATTTACACTTTTTTCCCTATATTTGTCCTTTGCTTTTACGCACAACTTGTTTCACTTCATTTTAGAGAAATAACTGTACAATTAAATTTAATTTCAATATTAATTTAATAATGCAATTTCTTCCTTTTTTCTATGTTTCTTTTCTAACACGCATTTTTGCCAAACTTTTGTATTCTATGCATACCGTAGGCAAAGCTTAAGCGAAACGTAGTTAAGCTAAAATATCAAATAGCCCACGAAAAAGCGTAGAAGTTCATGAAAAGTACATATTGGCATCATTTCGGAAGAGTATAAGCAACAAGTGCAACAATAATTGACGCTTGAGGCAGCACATTTACTTGTTATTGTGGCAGCAAAAAGGCAACAAAAGCCCGAGAAAACTTAACCAAAATATCGCCATAAAGTTTTCACATCGTTCACGCGAGAAATCAAAAAAAAAAAAAAAAAAAAAAAAAAAAAAAAAAAAAAAAAAAAAAAACGCTACTCATAAATTTCTTTTTTGACACAAAAGCGCTTGTTAAGCACAAACATTTTCAAAATTACTAAAATACATCAACAACCCAAATCACCGACACCAACTACCACAGACACGCTCCAAGAACCGATACGGCCTAAGCCAGTAGACAATTTATTTAATATATCGACAACCACCACGACCAAGACTCTGACTACGTCCGTTAATCACGTCACTGAGAACGCCATGAATACGAGTAAAATTAAAAAACGTGATACTGACTTATGACTGGTGCACACCAAGGGTGGCATGGGAAGCAGCAGCGGTAATCGTTATAAAGTAACGACACGCTGTGTGCCAGAAGTCAATATTACATCGCCAAATCAAAGTCATGATTATTCCACCCCAATACAGCCAACTGCGACAACAACAACAACAACAACAACAACTGTGACATCCGGTGCATCAGCAATTCTAACTTCGGCACTACCTTCCCATATGGCCAGCATATACTCACAAACGCAATATTTCGGCAGTAATAGTAAAAACAAAAACAGTAGCAACATTATCTTAACCACCAACACCACCTCCACAACCAATAACAACAACAATAACAATAATAATAATAACAATAACATCAATCATCATAAGAATCAGAGTAGAAACCAGGCAAACAGTAAAAGTAAAAAGCATGCACTCAAACATAGACAATTATCATCAATTAACCCAATCATTTTCCCACCAGGAGCCACCCTAGTAGAGGAGGAAGACTTCAACGAACTCACCGCCGTACCAACCTCAACGATTGTGATAGCGACCAATGCCAAGGGTGACACAAAAATCACGACCCGACACTTGCCACCATTGAAATTAAACGGCAAAGTGACAACACCTCAAGGTCCCAGTTCGACTATAGCAGCCACAGTTAAAAATGTCCTACAACGACAACAGACTTCATCAACGAGTCCAAAAATCCCAAAAGTGACAGCCAATTCGCATAATTTAAATATAACCGCTCAGTTAAGTGAGGATAGTCAAACTAACGAATTCACTCCACTAGTCTCGGAATCGCAAACGATATCTTCAAAAACCCCTAACGGAGAAATTAAAACGTTTGGAATTGATCCGGTGAACACAATTATTGACAACACGACTTTCCAACCTAAAAGCGCAATTACCGCTACACCATCCGCTACAAATACCGCCGCCGTCACCACTACTACATACAGTCACAATTCAAAAACAACACGTTCTTGGCCCGTAATTTATCGTAATCCACATCATTACGACTACGAGGCTTTATATGCAAACAGTAACGCAAACAAGGGCGCTCCACCGGCTAACTCAGTATCCTTCAGACAAAATTGCTATTCTAATCAATTCAAACAATCGATTGTCTACTCCTCAAGCAATGAAGACTTGGCCACTATAAATGAGTGCATTGCAAGTGGTGGCGGCGGAACTAGCGGCTATAGCAATCATAATCAACAGACAACCTGCTATTATTTTGCACCAAGTCGTCATAATAGCATATATGAACATCCCGCATCCGTTCTTGGTAGCTCTTTGCACTTTGATAATCAAAGCGCAAACGCGGCTAATACGGCAGCTGCTGCGGCTGCTATCGAATCAATACGACACAGCAATAGTATCCTGCTTCGTAATAGTAGCTGTTCGTCAAAAATTATGCAACAGCTTGGTACGGGCGGTGGCGGAAGCGGAGCCATAGATTCATCAAATTCAATTACTTCGGCCATGGATGGCACAAATCAAGTTGTTACCTCAACATGTTGCTCAAATTGTTGCGTGGGTCCACCGCCTGTACTTTTCTTATTTATCACTCTGCTGATGACCACAAGTGCAACGGCAATGCTATGCGCTGCCATTATGACTGATCATTGGGAACATGTCATATGGGATCGTCACAGTTTAGATAGGTATACTAATCGTTCAAATTTAAACCTGGATTGGATTATGAATGACAAGATAGCGATGCTAAAGCCGGATAGAAGAGGTAAGCGCGTGATGAGAACTCTCTCATGACTTTGTCTTTGAAAGATCTTACATTAAAAGTATTTGCAAAGATATTTTCTGTCTTTCGTATATACCCGACACTTCTTCATATTCATTTAATATGAAAATAATATTTTTAATCATTTAATAATAATCCTTTTTGCTAACTTTTCTTTCTGGCAGTAAACTTGTTAAATACACTCCTAGGCACCCAAAAAATTTCCAAAGGACAATAACTGAGAAAAATGGTTTAAGGGTGAAACAAAACGTAAATGGAGTAGCCTTGACATTGTTCAGATATTAAGTTGGCACAATTTCACAAATATACATGCAAAACAAATTTGTAAATTTTTAAGAAAAGAAAATCGTTTTGTTTACACTTATTAAGGCCGATATCCCAAATTTGACCTCAATTCGAGCAATATTAATAAGGAATAAGTTCATTTATTTTTAGAAAGGAAACCTAACACTGCGCGATGTTAAACCATAATATAGTAACAAAGCACGTCATAGTTCACGTCATAGCTCAAAGTAAATCTCCTACAGTAATACATAAAAACAAACAATGAAAAAATTGAAAGAGAGAATGTAACGATTGTACGGTTTCTTTGTATTGACGTAGTAGTAAGATTATATTATGAATGTAAAGTAAAACAAGGAACAAAGCTACATTTGTCGTGAAACGAATTCTTAATATCCATCGACTCAGACTAATTAGCTTTTCATTGGTCACTTTTTTACTCGGATGATCAAGTAAAGTATTTGTGTAGTAAATGAACGTTAATTTTCCATTTTAAGCTATAGTTGTTATTTATTATAAGCAGCCTTTATGGTTGGAACGTGTCCGCTTTAGCAAAAACTATTCACCATCATAAAATTGGACCTGCTTGGATATAAATCATGAATATATATGTGCACCAAATTTCAGTTTTCGGTCTTAATTTTCATGTTCGAGCAATAGACAGACCAGATGGCCAGTGTTAAAGAACTCCGATCGCATAAGTGACAGAGTAAGTAAGCGTTGCGACTACCAAGTCAATGCTCACGCGTTCAAATCTCGAGCGCGGTAGAGTTTACTTTTATCGAACAATTGCCGCTTGGCCGCACACCCACTAGGCTGCGGCTATCATCTCTCCGTCTCTTCTGTTTCCCTCTAGCAGAAGTACCTTCAAGCACTGTTCATGTTTAAAAGAGGATAATACTGTTCACTTTATGGGACCTCCATAGATCACGTTTCTTACGAGCGGACATAGAAATCCATTATTCCTTAGCAAAATGTGATGGTGGTGGGCGTGATTATTGGAAATTATAAACTGATTTATTATTTACTCATGTTATATTATTCAACGAGTTCACAAGTTAACTTCAAAAGAAAATGAATTTATCCCCTCGGTATCAAGTACAACGCCCTCTTTGTTTTCTTATTTCTAGGTGATCATCGATTTCGTCGTGATACACTGTTCCTTGTACCCATGCATGGCGGCATTTGGACTTTATGCATAGACTTACCTTTACATGAATTACAGGAATTAAGACGCCACCCGAAATTCCCACCGAGTGCGCCAACATGTCTCAATTATTTGGCGGGATCTTCGGAGAATGCCCGCGGTGAAGAGCAACGCAACGATTGGCAACATAGTGAGTCACAGACGCCATTGCAGCCTCATTTGCGTACGTATGGTACAATCTATGTGTTTACCCAATATTGAGTGAATTCTTTTTTTTGTAATATTTTTTACAAATTTTGCTAAAACTTCGTACATGTAGTAAAATGTTTCCTATAAATCGTTTGCGTAGGTTTTGCTCAGTTTAGTCAGGTAGGTCACATTAGGTTTGCGACGATTGAACGAGAGCAAATCTATGTGATTCATAATTAAATAAATCAAATTACTTGCGAAGCTTTAAGTCAGTCAGTCGCCTGCGTGCTTTAATGTGACCATCTGTCGTGTTAACCGCATTTCACAATGCCTGCTGACATTCTAGTTAATCGTGGATAACCGAGGCCCTCCAGAGACTTAGACAATCCCTATAGACTAGGGATGTCAACTACAGCTGGAGTATTAGGTTGTTTTAATGTGTATGGCTGATGAACCCATTCTGGGGAGTATTGAGGCCTATCATAATCTCTACATATTCTCTTTAGGAATAATGAAAGCCACCATGATACTCCCCGAAAGACCGTTCTCAGCAACCAGAAATTACTACCACGATTACAAGATTGCGTTCCTAAAAACTTCCTCTACTAGAAGATAGCTAGCAATTGAACCCCTGAACCCCGTGGAGCTTAAAGTTAGACTATAAAGCGTTTGGCATTACTTTACGCGACCGTAGTCACTCTTGCCTTTGGATCTACCAAACAATTCCGGTTCGCCGACCCCAGATTATCCTGTGTCAACATGTATTTGCGTCGGTGACTACAACTGACTTGACCTGCTCCAATTATTCGACTATTACCATATCAATATACAAATAAACAATTCTGTAATAGCTCGTCTGTATTTCCTCCATAGCGATAGTCTGTGAGAAAAAACTTACTCAAAACATAGCTTCTCCCAGTGTACTCCTAAGCTAAACCTGTCGCCAAGTCATGGATAGTCAAAAGCCTTAAACTCTTCTTTGCCGGTCAAACACCGTTACGAGGAATCACCACTAGGAGGTGAGAGTTTCGCACATCTATCCCTCCTAAAGCATAGATTATCACCTGGTGGTCGGTAGCATTTTGCTTTAAAATTACCCGCTATCTCAATGCGGTAGAGTTTATTTTAGTTGTAGCTATAGTGAGTGTTTAGTTAGTATAGGCATAATACTTACCGATTGGGACACCTCAACTTCTCTTTCCCTATTTTTACTTGTTTCTGATCGTTACCGTGTTGCACGTATAGTGGAAAGTCTCTAAGTGGTCATATAAAAGAAGAAAATGAGGTTAACTCCTCCGTTTACTAATTTAATTTTCTAAATACTATTGGTCGGCGGATTTTTCTTTTCCACGCGCCTGATTATGTTCGTTTGCGGCTTCATTTGACTCTCGAGCGTTAAACACTGCCTTCTATGGGTATTTTCGCTTACAGCTTTCTAAATAATTACATCAGACGTTCCGATAAAGGACTTAAACTTTATTCCCGGCCTTTCTCACTTGACTTTTGAACACTAAGCACAACTTTTTCCAGGGGTATTCAATCGTGCATTTTTCTCCTAAATTAAATTCATTCCTTGAATTTTTAAACAAATTCTTTGCTTTGGTAGAAGGGTATACTAAATCCCTGCGGCTGTATGCAACAGCTAAAACGACTTGAGATGGACCGACCTTTCATACGTTGTCTGTCCGTGTAATCTTCTCGTCTTCGATCTACAGGTCACAATTTTTGAGATACTTTGACGAAATTTGTTTCAGCGCCATGTTTTGACACAACGACATACGATATTGAAAATGGTTCGGATCAGATCGTTTTTTTAACCACTTTCCATATTATTACTTCACTTTGAAAGTCGTTATACAAATAAGGTGAAGTGATGTAGAGTGTTTAAGAATGGGCGTGGTCCCACTATAGTGTTTTTATTTGTTTTAAGTTTATTTTCTAAAGTCCGCACACTGTTTATTACCAGTTTTCCGAGTTCTACTGACAATTTGCCTTAAATCCTTCAAGTTAGTTGCGCCTTTTTGTAAGGTTTCTCCTAGAACACGAAAACATTAATACTCAATAGTGCTTCAATCTATTTTCAATTAGCTCTAATTTGATTCCGAATGTATAACTTGTTCTAAACTACATTAACGGTGCCAAATTTCCATGTTTCACTTTTTTTTAATTTTTTCTGATTTTATGAGTAAACAAAAATGATAGAGGAATTCTACAAAAAAATTTAACTTTAATTTTTCATTAACACTTCGATGATATCGTTTTTCAATGTTACAAACTCTTGTTGTCTGTACGCACTGCGATGTTGCTTTTATGTTCAGGTTAATTAAACGATATCAGCACTAAGAAATGTGTGTCTGCGTATATGTTCGTTGGATATCAATGCTTTTGTTTGTCTGTCATTTTTCTAATACTGAAAAATGCACTTTAGCTTCACGGAGAAATTAAAACTGTTGATAAGCAGCAATAAACAAGACATTGCTTTTACTTAAATTAATATGCAAAGTATGTGAGAAATGTAATGAAATCCATATTTGTTGAACGAAAGAAAATACTAAAAAACATGTTCACTTTATTTTCTAGATGGAAATGAAAAGAAACACAAATTTCATGACGCTAATGAAAGTACTTAAGGTGTATATATAGTCCAGCATTTATAGTATCTTTTCCTTCTTATTTTTGTTATTCTCATTGTTTATTGGAGTGCGGTTTTTTGTAAATTGAATAACAATTTACAGCGTCTGCTTCTGAAGTGGACTCTTCCGGTCTTTTACGCTTTATTAAATGTGAATTGTCCGTTAGTTTGGCTGATGATGTAATGGCCGTTGAAGAATTGGTAGATAATGAAGTCAAGGACGAGTTGGCCTCCGCAGAATTCGATTTTGACTTACCAGCACCACCATCAACGCTGGGAAGTTGTTTTATATAACCCTCTAATGCTGGCAAAGGCGAAAATAATACCATAAATAGATTACAGTCCAAATAAATGGCATGCAACGAAGATAATGGTTCTTCAATTTATCTAAACTTGGGCTTTCTCAATTTTTGCAATTTTTGCCCATATTTCCGATTTAGTTTAGTTTTATCTTTTTCGTTAATTTCAGTTTTAACCTTAATTTCTTCGATTTCATTCTTAACAGCAAGGCCACCTTCACTTCACCTTGATGTTGAAATATTTTTGCCGTTAATTCAGCCTGCCCATGCATCAAATAAGATTATTGTAAAGAGATTTGTATCAATTCAAAATTAATACTTATATACCGCTTCATCCTCTTCTATATCCTCGCCGTTTTCAATAGCCTTTCCACCATTTGAAGTGCTACGTTTTTCGCCATCTTTAATTGACGAACCTTCCAAAACTCCATTAGTTCTCACTACTCTACGGCCGTAACATCTTTCTTATCTTCGGAACAGTCATCTGTGCAGCTTACTTGCAATTCTTCTACAATATCTTTAATCTTTTCTACAGAAGATTTTCCACTCTGCATAATTTCTCTCTTTTCAACGTCATCAGTAGAATCGATAGTTGGTTCTGGTTCGGTGCCTTCGTCAATGGATGTCAATTTGCTACCGTTGCTAACTATTTTACTTTCATTATTATTTTTCGTATCTTTAACTGATGTCTTGATATCTTCTTTGTTTTCCAAAGTGTTTGTTGATTTTTCAACTAACTGATTCTCATCACCACCACCATTATCGCCATCACCGTCGTCGTCTTCATCGTCTTCAACACGGACGTCGATAACGTTATTTTCATTCAAAGCCAAAGCTATCAAGGACTTTGCGTAGAGCAAGTAAGACATTCCCAGCTCGGCCGATAACTCGCCGTACAAGTCTTCGCAAAAACCGCACACATGACTCAGTCCATCGACGGCTTCGAGAACCATGACTATATAGTTCTTCTTTAATTAATGTTACATCATTCAACTGGATTTAAGTAGAGATTTTTCTTTCTTTGCCGACATGTTGAGGATTGCCTTTTAAAATATGGTAGGTGTTTACATGCATTCTGATAACTTTTTCCTTTGGAAAGGGCATTAGTTGAGAAAATTTGGTGCAATATATATTATTCAAAATGTTTTCCATCATTTTCTACAACCCTTTCGGGCAACTTGCCGACAACGTCTCGAAAAAAAGATACTGGTTTGGCAACGATCCAATCGACCCATTTCCACACCTTTTCAGCATTTCGAAACCGCGTAGCAGTCAAGCGCTGCTGCATCGAATTGAACAAGTACTAATAAAAAGGCGCTAAATCTGATAAGCACTCTGGGTGCGGCAGAACTTGTCAATCGGGCTCCAATAGCGCATCTTTGACCACTCTTGCAACCTGTGGCGGCGGACTGACGTGCAAGAGGTTGGCTTTACGACTGTTAACCGCTATGGCTCGTCCCTTTTCCAACAATACATCGTTTAATTTGTTCAATTGACGTCGGCAGACATCAGCAGTAACAGTTTCATTCAGTTTCAGCAGTTCGCAATACAATAAACATTGCTGATTCCACCATAAGCATAGCAAATCTCTATGGCCATGAATACTCCGCATCGGTGTCAATGCTGCAATCGGCTTTTCTGAACTAACGTATAACCCTTTGCGCTTGGGATTGTTGTAGTAAATCCACTTTTCCACTCCAGTCACAATACGTCCTTTTTTGCCTTCCAAGTAATGAAACTGCAATGTTGGGCCGATTCGAAATGGCATTTTCAGTCAATTTGTATGACAGCCATTTTCCCTCCTTTTGAATCTTTCTCATCGCTTGTAAAAGTCTGGAGACAGTTGATTCATCAACTGTTAAGCTGCTCGAAGGTCTTGAAGACTGGGCTTTTGTTCATTGCCATCATTTTTTGTTCTTCCAGGCCTCTTGTTGCCATTGACATCAAAACCCTTGAAACCTAAACCGACCATTGGGATATAACCGACCAGCCGTATGTTGCTGAAAGAGTTTGATGGACTTCGGGAGCAGATTTTTTCATTTCAAACAAAAAAAGGAATGAATGTCGAAAATTAAATTTTGAGCATTCCATGATTAGCGCTAG